TTTTAATTAAGAAAGGACTTGTATCGCTGAAGTTCCTGGGATAGAATTTATACCGGAAATTAACAAACGAGCAGATACGTAACAATATAATAGTAATTAAGTAAAAACGATAATATTAAAAACAAGTTAAATTTGTTAAAATTCAAACTTTCACCTTAATAACATTGTGCAAAACTACGACGTTTATAATATCAACTTTAAAAACAATTTCTTCAGTAACATAAACAAACGTGCAAGGAAACGCATTAAGTTAATTCTTTCTCTTTCCATGACTTAAGAATAACCCATTGCCATGACATCTTAACAAAAATTCCAACAAGTGTCTAAAAATCTACAATTAGGCCTAAAGTTGAAATACACTTCGTACGCGAAAGACAAGTTTACCCGCTATTTAATCTATGGCAATTAGCCCCAACAGTCTTAATTTCCTTAATCACTGCCATAATTTCATTCATTTTTGATGCTCTACAGCTAACACATTGCGCTAAAGAAGGTAATTACGGGTTTTAAATTATATACAAATGCGATTTAGACACATTTGCAAGAAATTTAAGAAAACAACACATGAAGACAGTTGAGATTTGCAATTCTTGAAACCATAATTTTAAAAATTCACTATTTTATAACTATTATACATTTCCAACTGTCTCAATAGAAGTACTTGAAAAAAATCAACAATTAGGCCTAAACTTTAAATACGCTTCGTACGTAAAGAACGATTTTACCCGCTAAGGGAATAAAATATTACTCCATTTCTTTTATTAGTGATATTGACCCCGAAGCTTTGTTAACACTTTAGGAGAGAATCAAAGTACATAATATTATGGAAGAAAAAGAAAGAAATGAAATAACGACAAACGAATACAATTGATTCACTATTGCATAATTATTTTACAACGTCGCTTTATCAATACCTCGATCAAGTAAAAAAATCTTAAGATCTTAATCAAAAATGGCGATTATTCACAAAGACAAGGTGTTTATACAAAATAAATGTTCTATACAGAGAAATATTTCGTCATTTCCACGTTTTCACACTTCTTTATTTTCAGTTTAAATACAACAACTCCATAATCCATTTCGTAGGTTTCTGTTTCATTCATGCCCAACTACGTAATAAAACAACAGAATATTCAAAATAATTACTATTAAATATACCCATCTCATATATATAGATATATAGTATTCCACTTAATAATGCTGCATATGAAAGAAAAATATTTTGGCTTTGGCTCATGTGGCACAGGACACGCTTTGTATGCAAGAAGTCGAGGATTCCTGTCTTAATCCATTTGTATTTCCTAAACAGTGTTTGAGCAATCAAATAATTTAAGGTTATACATTGCACACGAAGCACTAGTTTATCCACTAATTATTTATTGTAATGGATAATGTTAATATGAGTCTATAAAGTAAAGGTAATGATAATATGAGCTTTATAAAGTGAAGTACAAGGAAATTACGATTTTATAATCACAGCCGTGTCTCTTATCTCAGTTGGGTATATTTTATTTACACTTTAAAGTTTGGGTCAAGGTTAAATTAAAAATATGGAACATTATGAAGATAATACAATTTATTCATAACGAATTCGGTTCGTCGCATCAGGAGTGGCGAACGGAGTGAGTTTTATAGGTAACATGCACAAGATATCAACCAACTCGCAAACCTTCGTTAGGAAAGGGCCATCATCGGCGTTGCATTTAATTTCTATTTCAATGAGAAACAAATAGGGGCCTATGGCCCTTAGTTTTTCTTACAGAACAAAACGATTTATATTTAGTTGCAATATCTATTTTTAGGCTGCATCTTAAGAAATAAAGCAAAGGGTGCAATATTCCAGAATGCTTTTCTTTAAATGCAATCGTCACCTACAGGCTGATATCTATATTGTATTAGATTAGTTTCTAACCATAAAATTCGTTATTTATCGTCAGCTTTTATCAACTTTATGTATTAAAAAATGACACTGAGTCCTGCCTTTATATGGCTCTGTTTTCATTTTCGTCCTTCATTACTAGAGCTAATAGAAACTATCGAAAACATCACCCCTGAAAGTAGTAGTGGGTGTCTCGCTCTACGGTGGCGAACCTGGAACAATATAAGCGACCTCTACTGGACTCCAAGCACATGTCACCAGCCTGGCAGATATATTTGTAAAAAGAGTGCTGTGGGTATGTTTCCAAATTGAATCTCTAATACTTCTCAGTAATATTTAGTTTATGCAAACTTCATCATTTGTTTTGAATCCTTTTTCTATTGTTTACAGTGCCTTGCAAAAGTTTCAACCCCCTGAAAAGTTTGTCTGAGCTTGCAATCATGAAACTATAATCTACTCCAAACTGAGAAAGCTAAAAAACGCTAATATTATGTAATTAGAATATTCTCAATTGCATAAGTATTCAACACCTTTGCTACGGCAAATTTAAATCAGTTCAGATACAAAAGGTTAGTTTGAAAGGTCACAAAATTAGTGCAATGGTGTAGTGTAGTGTCCCTGTCTGTGTGTAATTAAAGTGGTTTAACTTGAGTTCAGAGTAAATGCATCTGTTCAAGCCACAACTCACATAGTGATACGACAAACCAACCCTGAAGACCAAGGAGATTTCAAAACAAGTCAGGTATAAAGTGGTAGAGAAGCACAGATCAGGAGAAGGTTACAAGAAAATTTCAAAGTCGCTGATTATCCCTCTGAGTACGGCGAAGTCTATCATTAATGAATGTAATGTGCTTCATACCACCCAGTCATTCCCCAGTTCAGACTGCCCTTCCAAACAAAGCAGCCGGGCAAGCAGAAAACTGGTTAGGGATGTCACTGTGAAGCCAACAGTGCCTTTGACATGTGGCAGAAGGTTTTGTGGTCAGACGAGACAAATATTAAATTTTTTGGTCTAAATTCAAAGCATTACGTCTGGCGCAAGCCTAACACAACACATCACCCAGTCAACACCATCCCAGCTGTCAAGCATTGTGGTGGCAGCATCATGTATGGGGATGCTTTTCATCAGCAGGGACTGGGAAGTTTGTCAGGATTGAGGGGAAGATGGATGGTGCAACGTACAGGCGAATCCTAATGGAAAACCTGCTTGAATCAGTCAAGAATCTAAAACTGGGTCGAAAATTTACATTTCGGTAGGACAATGACCGGAATCACAAGGTCAATGCCACACTGGAATGGTTTCAAAAGAATAAAGTGAATGTCCTGTAGTGGCTCAGTCAATGTCCTCAATTGAATCCAATAGAAAATTTACGACGAGACTTAAAGATTGCAATCCATCAACGATCCCCAACGAACTTATTAGAATTGGAGAAATTTTGCCAGGAAGAATGAGCAACTATTAAATCATCCCGTTGTGCAAATCTGGTACAAACCTATCTAAAAAGACACAGCAGTAATTTCTGCCAAAGATGCTTCCACCACGTACTGACTTAAGGGGCTGAATACTTATGCAATCAGCAAATTTCAATTTAAATATTTTCTTTCCAGGTTTTGTTGACATTCAACCTTCTTCACATATAACAGCGTTTAGTTTGATCATTAGAATTTTTGAATAAAAACAAGTTCATTAAAAATTTTTTTTTCAATATTTCTATTTCACCAAAATGTAACATTATTGGTAAGGGATTAATACTTTTACAAGGTACTGTATTTTTACTTATCGAAGAAAGCGAAAGTTGTGGAATAGAAGTTAATGAAAATATATTTATCTTTCTTATTTCCAATACTGTTACAGAAGCTTTGATTTCAAGTAATTTGTTTCGTCACTACTTGAAATCAGAGTTTGATCACTAGAGGATTTGCACTCTACAGAACTTACTCTCCTATGATCAAACTTTGTCGGAGAGGAATGTTGTAGAGTACAGAGTAATAAACGTTGCATTGCTTCGTTTAGCAGTTATTTCTTTAATTCAGCCACGAAAATGAGCTTTACTGTGTTTTGCCTTTAGTTTCTAATAAAGTCTTCGCCAAGTTTTATTTGACAAACGTAAGCAGAGTAAAACGAGTTATTAAGTATTTTGTATATACACCTGAGTGACTGTAGAATAACGTGTAAATTTTCATTTTAAATAGTGTGTTATAATAACATACATAAATATTTGTAACTATTTGTGAATGCTCACCTACTCAAAAATGCTTCAATCTATTAAAACTGTTCTTCTTAAACTGAAATTTGAAGGTACCTTACAAATATCCGAACCTTATAAAATATTTTTACACAAAACTGAATATTGTTATATCAACCTTTAAAGAAGAAAGCTTAACCAAGTATTTTTTTGGGCAAATATAACTTATCAGATAAGTAAACTTAAGATAAAAATTTCCCCATTTAAATAGCATTCTCACTTATCATACGATTGTACACTGAGTTAGAGCTTATCAGATTACCTTACACACAACTTATACTTGTCATGTTACCTTATATAGTTAGAAATTATGAGATTACTTTGCACACAACACAAAATTGTTGTGTAATCTTCCACACAACATAAACTAGTCAGATACAACATAAACTTGACAAGTAATATTCCACCAAACATAAACTTATCAGGTAGTCTTCCACCCAACACAAATTTTTCAAGCAATATTCCTCACAGTATAAACTTAACAGGCAATCTTCCACACAACAGGCACTTCTCATAAGCAAGTTAATTCTGTGTGACAAATTCTGTTGTATGGAAGATTACCTGCGTAGACGTTCACATAATACTACGTAACGAATTCTATATGTGTGCAAGATAAAAAAAAATCAGTTTCGTTTTCTAAAATGTTTATTATTAATATTAAATCCTGCCTAAAAGTAACTACCTTTGAAACTGTGATAATAAGATTGGCCCAATTCCTTACCTTTTGGACTTAATTAACTCTTTTGGACATTACTACTAGTGAACTTTAACGATGAAAGTTGTGTTATATTTTCAACTACGCTTCTAGAGTGAATTGAAATTATTCTACGTAAGTTTCATATACAAATATTTAAACTATTTTGAGCAATGTTTTACGACATTTCTTTTTTCACTCAGTTCTCCCACAAAATCTAAACCAAACATTCCAAGGGTCGTATGGAATCATTTCTTCGGTAAACTTTCCTCAGCACTACCCCAACAATCTGAAGTATACGCTCACTATTAAAGGCAGACCTTTCACCCGTATCTACATCAGTTTTACTCATTTGATACTGGAAGAGCAAGACCTGTGTATGTACGACTATATATCCCTACAGAGTGACCTGAATGGTCCTGAAACCCGTTTCTGTGGACAACATCAGAATGATCTAGATAAGTACGTATCTATCCTGATATTTTACTTCAGAAACTAACAAATGATAGTATGCTGCAGTGCTAAATTCTAACTCATTTCTCTAGATTTTAGAGATTCGGAACATGTGTTCGACTTTTTTTTACCTACAGGTGATACTTTTCTCTCATATTGTTCTAAACACAAAAGAGCTCAAAACATCAAAATAAGAAAATACCGTAAATCAAAAAAAGGTTCACTGTTATTTACTTTGGTTCAAAACCTACAAAATCTTCATTGCTTTCACTGTAATTTATTTCTTTATTATTTAGGGAGCATTATAAATAGTTATGTTTTTAAAAGAAAAAAAAAACTACTATTGTTATACATAAAACATTCAATTGAACTAAACTATGCATGCCTATTTAAATATATTTATACATGGCTTGTGTATATCGTATATATACATATATATTATTCATGCCTTCGGTGTATAAAACGCAAGCAGAATTTGGGGTGAAAAAGTGTGTCTTATACACCGAAAAATACGTTACGTAATAACCAAATATGTTGGGTACTTAATATTCACGCATATTGTATTAACATTCTTAATAACCTTATATGTAGTTACGACTTATGTATTTGTTAATCATATAATACTGTATCCCGAGTACACAAGAATGATGTTCTTTGCGTTATCAATACTTAATATCCACGTGAATGTTTCAATGGGTATTGAAACATTCACATGGTTATTATATGGGTATATAATAACCATGTGAATGTTTCAATGGGTATATAATAACCATGTGAATATTTTAATGGGTATATAATAACCATGTGAATGTTTCTACCCATTTTGAAACATTCACATGGTTATTATATGGGTATATAATAACCATGTGAATGTTTCAATGGGTATATAATATCCACGTGAATGTTTCAATGGGTATATAATAACCATGTGAATGTTTCAATGGGTATATAATATCCACGTGAATGTTTCAATGGGTATATAATAACCATGTGAATGTTTCAATGGGTATATAATAACCATGTGAATATTTTAATGCGAACCTAATAATCACATGAATTCCTTAACAGATACGTAGTAGTCATGGGAATTGTTTAACAGGTAAATGATAATCATATAAATTCTATAACAACTACATAATAATCATATGAATTGTTTAACGCTTGAATAATATTCACGTCACTTGTTTAACAGCTACATAATAATCACCTGAATGGTATAACAGTTACATACTAGTCACGTGTATTGGTTAGCAGCTACATCACAATCACGTGAATTGATTGATAGCTACATAATAATCACGTGAACTGTATCACAGTTACATACTTGTAACGTGAATTGTTTAACAGCTACAAAATAATCACTTGAATTGTTTCATATCTACATAATAATCACGTGAACTGTATCACAGTTACGTGAATTGTATCACAGTTACATACTTGTAACATGAACTGTATCACAGTTACGTGAATTGTATCACAGTTACATACTTGTAACATGAATTGTTTAACAGCTACAAAATAATCACTTGAATTGTTTAATATATACATAATAATCATACGAATAGTTTAACACCTACATAATAACCACGTCAATTCTTTATCAGTTACATAAGAATGATGTGAATTGTTTAATTGCTATATAATAACCACGCGAATTATTTATTAAATACATAAAAATCTCGTGAGTTTTAACATCTACATAAAAATCATATGAAATGTGTACCAATTTCATAAAAATCATGTGAATTGTTTAAAAGCTACATAAAACTATGTGAATTGTTCAACAGCTACATAATAACTGCAAGAGTTGTTATATAGCTACATAATAACTGTATATGAGTTATTTAAAAGCTACATAAAACTATGTGAATTGTTCAACAGCTACATAATAACCACAAGAGCTGTTATATAGCTACATAATAACTGTATATGAGTTGTTTAAAAGCTACATGATTATCGCTGGAGTTAATAAACATCTACTTAAAAATTAAGGGAATTATTTAACAGCTAAATAATAATCATGTAAGGTGTTTAATAGCTACATAATAATAATATAAGTTGTTTAATAGCTACACAATAGCGGAGTGAATTATTTAACAGCTACATAATAATTGCGTACATTGTTTAACAGCTACATAGTAACCATGTAAGTTGTATAGCAGTTATAGAATACTAACGTGAATTGTTTAAGAGTTGCATAATAATCATGTAAATTGTTTAACAACTACATAATAATCACGTGAATTGATTAATGGCTACATAATAATCATATGAATTGTTTAAAAGATAAATAACAATAATCACGTGAATTGTTTTACAGCTACACAATCGGATGAATTGCTTGATAGCTAAATAATATTCACGTAAATTGTTTAACATCTACGCAATAATCACATGAATTGCTTTGGAGCTAAATACCAATCACATGAATTGTTTAACAGCTACACAATAATCACATGAATTGCTTAAGAGCTAAATACCAATCATGTGAATTGTTTAACATCTACATAATAATCATGTGAATTGTTTAACAGCTATATGATAACCATGTGAATTGAATAACAACTATATAATGATCATACAAATTGCTTAGCATTAATATAATAATCACGTGAATTGTTTATCAGCTATATAATAATCATGTGAGTTTATTAGCAGCTACATAATAATCATGTGAATTAATTAATGTATAAATAAATATGGTTTCAACTATTTAACAGCTACACAAAAATGATGTGAATTGTTTAACGTCAATAAAATAATCAATTGGAATGCTTAACACCTATATAAAAATCAGGTGGATTGTTTAAAAGCTACATAATAATCATGTGAACTGTTTAACAGCTACACAACAATCGCCTGAGTTGTTTAATAGGTGCTTAATAGTAATGTTATTTAATTTCTAGGTACATAATAATCATGTGGATTAATTAATGTATAGATAAATATCGTTTCAACTATTTAACAGCTACACAAAAATCATGTGAATTGTTTAATGTCTACATAATAATCAATTGAAATGTTTAACATCTATATAAAAATAATGCGAATTGTTTAATAGCTATATAATAACCACATGAGTTGTCAAACATCTACTTAAAAATTAAGTGAATTGTTTAACATCTACATAAAAACCAAGAGAATTGTTTAACATCTACATAAAAACCAAGAGAATTGTTTAACATCTACATAAAAACCAAGAGAATTGTTTAACATCTACATAAAAACCAAGAGAATTGTTTAACAGCTAAATAATAATAATCATGTAAGCTGTTTAACAACTACATAATAATCACATGAATTGAATAATGGCTACATAATAATCATATAAATTGTTTAACAGCTACACAATCAGATGGATTGCTTGATAGCTAAATAATAATCACGTAAATTGTTCAGTTACCCAATAATTACATGAATTGCTTAGGAGCTAAATACCAATCACGTGTAATGGCTGGAGACGGCTTGAATGGGTAATGAAGAAAAACTTTAATATAAGTTTAACATAACAGCAAATGTACAACGTTTCGACAAGGTTTT